CGGCGGCCTCCAGGAGCCCCGCCCCGGCCCCGCCCCTTCCACCTCCCGAGACCCGGCGGTGGGCCTGGGGCAGCGCACCGGCCTGGCCGCTGCAGGACCTGGGTAGAGCGGCGCGTGGGCTGAGCGATCGGAAAGTTAACCGGCGGTTCCCTGTGCGGATTGCCCGCCGGCCGGCGGGCGAAATGCACCGCCTCTTCCCGAAGCCCGGGTGAGCAGGGCATGAAGAGGACAGCACAGGAGCGTGACCTCTCCCCGAGGGACAAATACAAGGCCTTTCCCTGAGGATCTTCTCAGATAGGGCACCCCGTGTTGTGTTTTGCTCTAGGGTAGAATCTGGGCTCAGGAAACAGCCTGGGATCTGGTCCCAGCCTTCCTCTTCCTAGCTGTGGACTTCAGCCAGCTTCCTTAACCTCTCTGTGCCTTAGTTCCCTCATCAGTTATACGCGAAGCTAGCCCCTGCTTCCCAGGGTTATGGGAGATGGCACTGTCATACTTATAAAGCCCTTAGAACAGTGCCAGATACATCATAACCACCCAGTAAAGATAAGCTATTATTATTTTATAACCACAGTCCGATCCAGGCAGGCGCTTTGTCGTTCATAGTACTGTCCACGTACACACCCAGTGGGTGGACATGGTCAGCACAGGACAGTCCTCATGGAGCTTGCAGTTCAGTGGGGACACACAATAAAAGAGACAGGACAAGAATAAGGCCTCTGATCAGCTCAGGTCAGGTCCCAGTGGGGAAAGCAGACTTGGAAGGAGCAGAAGGAGGTATCTGAGGAGGAGAGGAGGCCGGTGAGGAGTCCCAGCGCGGAGCGGAGAGGGTTAGCAAGGCAGAGTCCCACTTGCGTGGGGCCCAAGTGAGCCGGTAAGAAAGATGTGTCCAGAAGCAAGCAAAAAAGAAACCAACTGGCGTGGTAGGGGCTTGGCCTTTAACCCGGAGCAGCGGAAGCCCCTGGAGGTTCGGAGTAGGGGAGTGTGGTCATCCCCCGTGCATTTTTAGAAGACCGCTGTGTCTTAGGTGTGGAGGGCAAATGGGAAAGGAGTTCCACAAGACGCTGCCGGGCAGGTGTGTCTTGGGATTGCTAAAAATTCAGAAAATGTGGGGCTGACCAGACCGCAGAGGTAGCAGCTGGGCCAGAGGAATACAGAGGTCCCCTTGCTGTCAGCAGGTAGGCTCTGTAGAATGCCAGGTACAGTAGTGAGGAATGAGGTGGTGAAAAAGTATTACAGCTCAACAACTGAAGTCAGAATTCAGAGCAGAAGGCTAGCTATATCGAGTTTGAGATACCCATGGGGCATCTGGATGACTGTATCCAAAGAAACCATAGTGAAGGGGTCAGAACTCCCAGAAGGCTGAGTTGGCAGCGTTTTTCACCTTCTTGTCTTCTACGATGGCAAAAGAATTTAGTGACAGAATATACTGATAATTCACTCACATAAAAACTAATATTCCCAAGATATAGAACAGTGAAGATTATGCTATAGGGGATGCCAAGGTAACTTGAAAGTCTTACCTGTCCTCTCCCCGCTCCTTTGGCTATAAGTTCCTTGAAGGTAGGAACTGACCTTTAATTACCATTTATCCCAAATGATTCTTGGCATAGGTAATTGTACTATGAACACTTTAGCTGAATTAATCTAGATCACATAAGTATTATATCAAACATATCCTCTTGTGTGTTAAATATTAACTCTTCTCCCCAAGATGACAGTGACTGGCATCTCTCTGTTCTTGTCTGCTATACCCTTTTGTTTGTTGAACATCTACTATTTATGAAGAAAAGTCTCTGCTCTCTGTGTTTCCAGTGGGAAACAAACAATGAGACAACTATGACATAAAGTGACACGTGTTCTCAAGAAAAGTGGGGTACAGGAATAGTATTGTGTGGGGGTGTAGGGACAGGGACTCTGTCCTCGGTGGGTGTTGAGAGAATGCTTCTCGGGGAATGACATTTGACCAGAGAACCACTGAGAAGAGGGAAGATGCCCTAGGGATTTGGGGAGGAAGGACAGCCCACCCTTAGGGAACAGCAAGGGCAAAGTGCCTTGTTCTGAAAATAAAAGGGAAGCTGGCGTGTCTGGAAGGGTGTGAGAGGGAGGAAGGAGGGACGTGATCAGAGAGGTCAAATCCTGTAGGGCCTTGCAGAGTGAAGAGCACTCAGACCACTCTGACTGCTGGGGAAGGAGTGTTAGGAACGGGGGTGGATGAGGGTGCTGAAGAGGTGGCATCACAGTCACGGGAAGGCGACCATGGCTTGGCCCACGGGTTGGAGGTGCAGGCTGTAAGAAGTGCAAGGAGGCTGGAAGCAGTATGAAGTTAGATTCTGTGGGATTCTTTGAAGAACTGAGTATGGGGGAAACAGAAGGGAAGGAGTCTTCCGAAAGGTCCACTTCAGCCCGCTTGGCAGCACCCTGTCTATACCAAGCTGCCCGACTCCTCCACACCACACCTCGCAGGGCCTCTGCCTGGGCCCTGAACCTTGAACCCTACCCTCAGCAATCCCTTCTCCATGTTTGGTTCTTTCCTGCTCAACCTGCCCTTTCTCCTACCACCTAGACACCGTGTACCCTTCTGTGTGATCTTCTACCCCTGAGCTTCTATCATCAAATATGTTATGGCTGATTCTCAGCATAGCATTCTAATTTCCACATCTATGGAAGAGCTACAATATGCAAAGAATTGCACTAACTGCTGGTTAGGGAGAGAAAAGTACAATTAAAAGAATGCCTCTGCCCTCCAGACATAGCAACCAAATGAAGTAAATGTGAACAGGGGCATGCTGGCAAAGAATGGAACTGAGAAAAGTCCTAAGGGATGGAGAGACATCGGGGGAGGGCACAGAAGTCCCCAGTCAGCAAATCTGTTTGGTACCCCAGCTGAACATTAGCGCTTGCTCCAAGACATTTTACATTTGCATTTTGAAGCCACTTCTGGATTGGCCTGGAATCAGTGGACATATTGGGGGCAATTTAGAAGACTTCTGAAGCGTCTCCACCAGAGAGTTAAACTCAGAAGCCTGTAGAAGTCAGGCTGAGGCGCGGCAACAAGGAGCAGGGGCCCTTATGTACTAAGAACACAGGCTGATGGGCCTGCGCGGTTTCCTCCAGGCACTGCAGTGAGGATGGAAGGTCCCTAGTGCACGATTTTCCTACTTTCCAAGAGAATTAGGAAATCTAGCATTTTCCTTGAGTTCCTCCTAATTCTGCTCATTGGAAACTAGTGTTTAAATTAAACACTGCAAGAGACCAACATAAAATATATTTGTAGATAAGATATACCCAAGTGGTTCTACCAGTTTGAGGCCTCTAATAGGAGGTTATAATCAAAAGGCTAATTTATAAACCAGAAACAGCCTAAAGTTACACTTTTAAGGAAAAAAAAACCTTGGGGAAAGGCTAGCCAGACGGTCCTTTGTCACTTGAAAGAAAGTTGAAAGGAAGGCATTTTGTCTAAAGATAGGCTGACAACAGCTATGCACTCACAAACAACAGATGTTAATTGTTCCTAATGCACTCTGAAATGCCAAGTGAAAAGAGCAGGACCTCCCTACCTCACAGAGCAGCCACGGCAGAGCTAAAAGTGTGCCGCTGAACAATTCTCCTGATAGCCACTTTCTTCTTGGTGATTACCTCCTACACAGACAAGGATCCCCAGAGCTGAAGACTAGAAATAGCTTACACAGGATACCATCTGTCTTTAAAATAAAAAGAAAGAAACGGAGGTGACTGTTAATATCTTGAGACCAGGGGTGGGTGGTGAGTGGGTAGTCCCCAAGGGCGTTACCCGCAGGTGGGAGCTCAGAACCTGAGCTGCGCCATCTAGTGTTGGAGGGGGACCTGGATTTGCTTTCCCAGAGGGAAACAGAAGATTCTTTTCAGCTTAAGGTCTCCTTCCTCCACAAAACTGCAGAGGTTCGCTTGCTTCTTTGCCTGGTTGGTTGACAGAGAACTTTGGATCTGAAAAAGAATGACCAGATTTGTGTCCCAGATTTGTGTTTATTGACCCCTAACTCTGTTCAGTTTAACCTCTCTTGCTCAAGCTTCCGTACTTGTAAAAGAGGCTTACAT